AAAAAAAAAAAATCGAAACAAATGAGGAAGTGAAAGAAAGTTGTATGTTATATGTTGGACTAAAATCGAACAATAAAACTCGAGGCTGCAAAAGAAATTGACAAAAAAATGGCAAGAATGCACAAATAGCTTTTGATTATGTCATAATTTTTTAAGGGGTAAACTGTAATGTTTCTATAAATGCAAGAGAGAATTGCAATTTTTCTCTTCAGTAAAGAAGGAGAATGTAAGAGGCTTTTATGGCTATTGAAACTTTTATGAACTTACCCCGAATCATGTAAAAAATCAGGAGTATATTTTGTAGTTATGCATTAAGCTAATCAACTTCTCACCACAAATCAGAAGGGATAGGAAACCCAAGTCAATTCATATCAGAACACAAACTCATAATTCAGAGGATCACTAAAATTATCATATTGGACTATCATTTCTCCAGTTCCATTCACAACAAATATAGTTTTGATGACCATTTCCAATTTTCTATACCGAACGCAACACGGAATCATACAAATCCATACACTTCATGACCCAAAAATCACATCATAAAACATCTGTAGTCACAATCCTAATTAATATTCAGGCCAAGAGCCACATAAATCCTGCATGCTAGGTCATCTCATCAATTTGGTTCATGAAAATCTAGTAAAGTTCAAACATTCACAACACAATGTAAAGCATAGAACTCAAATCTAATCCTATCTAGCGACAACCATACCTTGCCGCCTGTTCATGAAAATATCGGCCAGGCTGCTTCTGCCTGAGTACATGCAAATCCCCTCCGGGACAAAACTCCATAACCAAGCAGGACAAATTGTCCGAAGTAAACTGTGCATATAGCGCCGGCAAAAAAGGATGATCAAGCATTCTAAGAATCTCCCTCTCGGTTTGGGCCCTACCCGTCTTTTTCCTTCTTGCCAAGAACTCATTATCCATAACTTTTATAGCAAACGTGCAGTTCATGCCAATTAGCTCGGCAAGATAAACAGTGCCTATATCCCCAGACCCAAGCTTTCTCAGCAGATTAAAATGACTCAGCCCCAAGAGGCCACATTGCTTTCTTATACGATTGATTGATTCCCATTTCATGTCCTTTGACATGTGCGGCCTATTGCCCCAGGTGGACCCGTTTAGGCTGCCGCTGTCCTCACTGGGGCTGGTCGTGCTACTACTAAAATCACAAATGCTGCTTTTTGAGCTTTGAGAGAAATCCGCCTTCTCAGCCGATTTCGAGGTCGTGTTGGTTATTGGAGGGTCCTTGATGGGCTCTTTATTCGTATACTCCATAGAACACTGACAATTTTGGCATATTAATGGCGCATGATTTTGACCCGGGCTCTTGCTTTTTTCCTCATGCAGTGTTTCTGCACTTCTTCTAGCTGTGGATATTGTCACTTTCTTTGGTTTCTTTACAACGAGGGTCTTGTTCTTTACAGCAGGTTTGACCGTACATGAGGCGGTTCGAGTCGACTTCACGTCTTTATTGATTTTCACAGAAGTAGACGAGGGTACGTTCTGTAACTTCGGTTTGCGTTTTACTTTAGGTGTTGCCGTCTTGTTCATACCTTTATTCTGACCATTTACCTTATTCGGGCTGGAAACCTTTTTGTCCGGTTTCAACACACTATTACTAGAAGAACAAGCAACTTCAGGATCATGTCCATTAGTGTCATTAAGATCATTCGGTGTTTTCTTTTCCTTACTCCCTTCAGTCGCAGGCAAAGAACTGGGACTTTGATTTGGCTCTTCAAAACACGTACCCTCCTCTCTTTTCACACGAGACACACATTCAAGACTCTTATCGCCCGATTCAGAACCATAGCTCACGGAAGAACACGAACTCTCAGCAGCCACCCGCTTGAAAACCGAATCTTCATTCGCCTGAACCACATTTGACGACTTTCTGGTCTCTGAAACCCTTGGAGATGCTGGCATCGATAGCCGCTTGACGGCAGCCATCTCGGCCGCCTGGGAAATGCACATTCCCCTCAGTGCCTGTTTTAAAGAGACGGCCTCGGAAAACCCGATCCCCGGTGACTGAGAGCCAGCGACTCGGATCGGCATCTTGGACGCATTCCTCGGCCAGTCTGATAGATCGAGACTTTTGGATGCCCGAAGATTGATGGACTCGAATAGCTTGTTGATGTCATCTTCTAAATATTTGCTGTGCGGCT